GGGATATAATTACTACTGTATGAGCTGCAATGTGACCCTTAATTTTTGAAAGCTTTCTTGATATTTAATTTTAAATTTCCAATTTAGAATATCAAATGATTAATTATGTTTATCTTTGATAATGCCTAGGTCGAATTAGAAATTAATCATATTAGAAATAAAAGTAAGGAAATATGGAAGATATAGTTATTTTATAGTTTTTATAGGTTATATTTATCAAAAATATATTTAAATTAATCTTGAAATTATTTTAAACATGCATAATAAAAATATGTATGAGAAAATTTCTTTACTTATAATAATTGAATATATCAATAATATCTATTACTATCCTTAGACAAATAAACACCCTACCGATTCTATCTCTGATACCTTCTTATAGATGGAATGACTCTCATCCTGAGAATAATTTCAAGTCATCTATTTCCATAAGTTGATATCATCTAATCTTTTATCGATTAATTTCCTACTATATTCCTCTACAATCAGACTTATTGCAGCATTTGAAAAAGTCATTGGCTTTAGATTTATTAAATCTTTCAACTAATTCTTCAACATTCTTATTCATTTATTCTAATCTTATAGACAGTGATTCTTTCATTATCCTATCAAATTTTCAGATTATATATCCTTGTCTTTTAAATGTCTAATTTGATACTCCTATGCTGTGGATTTATCTTAGATTTCAAAAAATGTAGAATTTTTATAATAATTCGTTTAACCTCTCTCCTCCAATATCATAATGTCCGCATTCTTTTTATTTTTTGATGTATCTATTTCCTATTTCATTCCCCAGAATTCATCTTTCCATTCTTAATATCTGGGGGTATAAATTTAATAAAATGTCCATTTTTTGAATAGTTATACTCAAGATATTAATGATTAGTTCTTGCATCAGGCACTTTTAATTTCTACTCTTTCAATTAAGATTTTTTTCTTTTTAAAATTTAGATATAAAAAGCATCCCTTACTACAGTCCCATCAAATATCAAGATTTCTCAGACTTTCTTACTTCCTTACTTTAACTCTATTCTTTAAGAAGTTGGTTTGTAATTGATAAGAAACTATTTTCATGATCATATATAATGTCCATTTTTCTGAAAATTTATTTTTGTTATTACCTTAGCTTCCACGTCCATTTCTCCTCAATAATTTAATTAATAATTCTTACCCTAAATTATTTACGGTATCTTTTTTTTATAAACCATCAAAATGATTCCAGGGCTAACAAATCCACTTTAGACTTTAAATCTCATACTCCTATGGTCCTATTTCGAAGTTTTCTTTAGTGTTGTAATAAGGGTTCGTTTG